AATCCAACAATCAATTACAAGGAAGAACATGAATTGTCATTACCTACACATAATTAATCTGGTGTCATGATCGAGGGTTCAATCTAAATCTACCAGACATCAATACAGTGCCATATTTCAGGACATTACACTTCATCTTAGTTGTTTACGGCCTAATACTTACGGTAAAACGTATTAACTGTAGCAAACCATACTTATATAAATACATAATCTCTCTTAACGTACAAATGTTAAAGAGAAGGTAATTATATACATTATATATAGAAACTTATTGCAAAGACAGTTACAAAAATAGGTCACGGTTTACTTTGCGCAGAGTCCTAAAAGAAATGTGAAAAATAAGAAAGGTAGTACATATACTTAAAGTATAACATCCTCTTTTCTCTTGTAATTAAAACTCCCGTGTTTGTTTACCATATAGATTGATGTATCATTTGTGATATTTTTTTCTTTATTTTTTTCGCCTTTTCTGGCAAAATTTTTTTTATATGCTCTTATCAGACAATATTCCTAAACCATAATACAACAATTCGATCGTACTTTCCAAATCATAGATATACCGTCCTGTGCTGAATATATGCAACGTACCTGGCTTTTTGGAAGACAACTAGGGAAATGTTGTAAACTCCATCACAATTCGAACTGTACTAGTTCTGTGGGGGTTATCAGGGCCTATGTTGCACCCAATTATCTTGCACTTACGTGTTGTACAGAGGTTGTTACAGGAATCGGTTACTGGAATGGGAGAGATATAGAAAGAGAAAAAGCAATATGTGATTTTCTTTCTCTTTACGGAAAACGCAAAATATACAAAACATATCAAAGTCCAACCGTTGTTCCATACCACATGCCACATGGGACATGTGGCATGACATACTTCCTCCTCCTCATTGTCAAGTGAATTACAACTATATGGGCATTGCTTTGAAAAGAAATTATTTTTAAAAAATCCTTTTCATCCTACGAGGGAATCTGTATTGTTTTTATCTACTTTGACGCGCAGTTTTCTTCACTTAATTGATATATATATTGTAGCGGGTTGTCTTACCATTTAGTAGCACCTCTTTCATACCTCAGCAAGTTGGGTTTTCGGTTCATCAATCCTTCTTTTTGATTTGCGTTGACATCACCTTTATTTTCTTTATCGATCTGTTTCGCTCTCTCTCTCTCTCTCTCTCTCTCTCTCCTCTCTCTCTCTCTCTCTCTCTCTCTCTCTCTCTCTCTCTCTCTCTCTCTCTCTCTCGCTCTCTCTCTCTCAATCTATCTCATCTCCTATCTCTCTCCCTCTCTCTCTTTCTCCCTATCTCTCCCTCTCTCTCTTTCTCCTGTCTCTCTCCTCTCCCTATCTCTGCCCTCTCTCTCTCTCCTTTCCCCATCTCTCTCTTCTCCCAATCTCTCTCCTTTTCTCTTTTACTCCTCGCTTCAAACAATCCTACTGACCGATAATTATCTACGTGTCTCATTTCGACTATTTACGTACATAAGAGAAAATAAGACATAGTGTACAGGCTGCAAGGGCAGTGATGGTACTCATGCATCTCCCTTTGGTACAGAGGACTAGAATGTACGAGGTCAGTTTATACATTCATACATACATACACATTTATGCAGATGTACCTATTACGAGAATGTGTATGTGTGTGCTTGTGTTTGTGTGTGTCGGGGTGGGGGTTGCGGGGGTGGGGGTTGTGTAGGGGGTGGGGGTTGTGTGTGTGTGAATTCATTTTGTAAATATTCTGTGACAATATATACACGATTCTTTTCTCGTGTATCCCCTTTCGTGTTTTGCTTTCGCCCCCTCTCGCCCAGCCCCGTTTATTCCTTCTCTCCCTTCCACCCACTTTGGCTCAAATTCTACTGTTGACTTCCAGCGAGAGGGCTGATGACTATTCACTTCATGCCGAGAGGTAATTGTGATAATTAATCCTATTACGTTCTGTTTTAAGCTGTAAACATTTCCCCCCTTTCCTTCTTTTTCCGTAACTCTTGCTTCGCGACGAGCGAATGGGAATCACCAAAGGACTAGACGACGGTGACCTTCCTGCTGCCGGTCACGAGGGTCTGCTTCTCCCCCGCGCCCTCCTCGCCCTCGTCGCCGGCGGACGCCCCTCCCTGACGCCTCCTGCAGGAGTCGTCCAGAGACATCCTCGACTGCGGCCGCTCCTCGCTGTCCCCGGGAGGCACGCCGTTCCTGCCGAGGGCGCTCCCCTTCGTCGAATTCTCCTGCCGCCCATCCTGCTGATGGCGCTGCGGCAGGAGGGTGGTGGCGGCGTGCAGATCCTCGCCCCCCTGCGACGCCCTTCCGCTGTCGCCGAACACGTTGCCGGACGGAGAGACCTTGCTCCCGGTGCTGTGCGCGCGGCTCGGCCTGCGGGAGGAGGGGGGGGGGGTGAGGAACGGCGCCGAGATCGCAACAGACATTGCAGAATACAGTAGCTTCTCTCCCTAAATAGCTATTTATTTATTCATCTATCGGTCTCTCTCTCCCTCTCTCTCTCTC